GGCAACTGTGTTTTGGGATCGAAACGGGGTATTGTTGGTTGACTTTATGGAAACTGGGACCACAATAAACGCTGAGAGATATTGTGAGACACTGAGAAAACTCAGGCGGGCGATTCAGAACCGGAGAAGAGGGATGTTAAGCAAGGGCGTAAGCATTCTCCATGATAATGCTCGCCCCCATGCTGCCCGACAAACCGTCGCTCAACTGCAACAGTTTGGATGGAACATCATCACCCATCCACCCTATAGTTTGGACTTGGCGCCCAGTGACAACCATCTCTTTCCAAGGTTGAAAGAACATTTGTCTGGAAAGCGCTTCAACAACGACGATGAGGTGAAAGCTGAGGTTCGAAGTTTCCTGAACATCATGGAGGTGAACTGGTATGACATGGGCATACAAAAACTGCCACTGCGCCTATAAAAATGCATCGACCGAAATGGCGATTATGTAGAGAAATGAGTACATGTTCAAGATTCAACTGATGTATCCAAAATTGAAAATAAATGTTTATTTTATATTTTCAAACATAGGAGACCTTACTTTTGGAATTGTAAATAGGGGCTGCCCAAATTCCATTACACGTACACCCACATTAGATACACAATATTTACATACCAGAAAAAATGACAAGTACCAGATACAAATTTGAGTATAAATATTTGCATTCTTTCTCTGATAAGGCACAGCAGTTCAAAAATGGGTGAACTGGAATTATAAAAAATACATCCTACTACAGCTATGTGAATGCTCACACTTAGAAGACGTAATTTTCTCGTTACATAACAAATTATTTGGGAAAAATCCTTACCATTCAAATCATCAGACTTCATATCTCCCCAGTACTTCCTGACTCTCAACACTGCCTTCAGAATGAACAAGTATGTGCAGCCAAAACACTTCTGAAGATATCTATCCTTTAAAATTTGCAAAATGCAAAACAGTACAGTTGAACACTTTAATTTTGGAGGACCTGAAAAATATAAAATTCTAAATTCTTTGGAGAAAGTAACACTAGTACTCATACTGTGCTATATAAACTGAAATGTTATAAAGATGGAGGGTAGATCAACACAGAGTGATGATCTGATCGTGAACTAAAATTCCAGATATAATTCCTGTAAATCTAATTAATGTGCTGTCACAAGACAAATATATTTACTAACAGTTTCAGAATTACAAGAAGAAAAATGCAGAACTAAAGAAGTAAGAGTCATCCTAAAGATTACCTTCTTTTTAGAAATTAATAAGTTACACTTTTAGGGAGTGAAATAACCATCATAAATATAAGAATTTAATTAAGTTCAATATTTTATCACACTCAGAAGGGGCTATTTTAGACCTGAATGTCCTAAGTCAATGTAAATTACTATTATATAACATATTTTAAAACATCATTCATGTATGATGCAGAAACATGGACAATCAAATAAATAGTTGCATGTAAATACAAGCAACGAATGCATAAAGCATACAGAAATAAGAATGTATGGTTGTCTAATGTGTTAAAATTGTACATCAAGAAGTGCACAGCACAACCCAGGAATTATGTGTGAAAATCAAACAACCTGAAAAATAGCACAGATGAAGATGCATTACTCAACCAACTGAGAGTGCTTGAAGTTGACAAAGAATACAGATGTGGCAGGTAGATGATAATACGTACTGGATAACAATATCTGAGGATTCAAATACATCAATACATGCTACAGCGGAAATTGATTAAAATAAAAACAATCTGTGCCACTGTCTTCATATGAAATTATTTTGTTTCAAAAACAAATACCAAAGGTCAAATAATTTGTTTAAACTACTTAGTCCTTTAAAATAACCTCCTGTCATTACATTTTCACAATAATAATTCTAGACATTCTGTTGTGTATTTCATAATTGCTAACATTTAAACATTCCAACACAATGCAAGTCTTTATATGTTATGGAACTATTGCCCAAAAAACTACTGGTCAGCAAACTAACAAATGTACAATACATATGTTATGAGTGAGCACTATAGACACACGAGTGCTGAATGAGATGTGTACATAATAATTAACAATAAATTGGGAAAGGAAGCAGAGGATGGCTATGTTCATGGAATATTGTAACGTGTTTGGAGTAGGTACGTCCATGGTAACCCAAAAACAGAGAGCTGTTGCGTAGAGAAGGCCAAAACAACGAAGCAGTGTTTCCTTGGAGATGGATAACAGAAGGTTCATTGTGTAGCAACGGCCACAGATATATAAGAAGGTAATGCATTCACCGAGACAGTCTTGGGACAGCCACCGCTGAAGAGAGTCGGGATCCAGCCACAGTCAGAGACAGTTGGAAGACAGCCACCGCGGAATGCAGTTGAACTGATACTATTTGTATCTGAGTGTGCAAGAATAAATGTGTTCGCTATATCCAAGACCTACGTGAAGTTATTTGTCACGTGACATACCCAACACGTGACAATATGTAACACTACAGGTACACCGCTGTCCAAAAAGTATCCTACTTTACTTTTTTGCTGCTGTAAGTAATGGCCAAAGGGGTGGGGAAAGTGAGTGAAGTGGTAAAGGGACGTTCATGCGCATGCATGATCTTTTGCTGACTTGCAACACCCGCCGGATGCGCCTGTGGCTGCCAGATAGTAAAGTGGTGTAACACGTGTTCATCGCATTCTCGTTTCGCTCAAGATGACAGAACACTTGGAGCAGTGACACTGCATCAAATTTTGTCAGAAACTTGGGCATACGCAAGCAGAAACAATCCGCAAATTTCAGCAGGCTTTCAGCAATGATGCAATAGGGGTCACTAAAATTAAAGAGTGGTTCAACTGCTTTAAAGATGGCCATATGTCGGCGGACAGTGACCAGCATTCCAGGAGACCATCAATGAGCCAAAATGCTGATGTCATTGAAAAATTGCGACACTGATCATAGAGGACCATTGTTTAACCATCCAGGAAGTTACTGATGAGGTGGGATCAACAGAGGTTCCACAAACACAATTTTAACTGAGGATTTGGGCATGCGAAAAGTGGCAGAAAAATTTGTGCCCAAGCTGCTTTCACTGGAGCAGCAAGAACTCTGCCTTGAGGTTATGCAGGACATGCTGGAGTGCGCCAACAGGAATCCTGAGTTCCTGAAGACTGTGATCACTGGTGACAAGTAGTGGGTGTACGGATATGACTAGGAAACCAAGGTCCAGGCATCACAATGGAAGCATCCAACATCCCAGAGGCCCAAAAAAGCACAACATGTTTGGAGCAATGTGAAGGTGATAATGACTGCTTTTTTTTTTTTGATTACCAGGGTGTTGTGCATCATGAGTACGCACCACTAGGCCAAACTGTCAATAAGGCGTACTACCAAGAAGTCCTCTGCCATCTTCACAATGCAGTTCGGCGCATGAGACTGGAGCTGTGGGACACATGCAACTGGCAGCTGCATCATGACAATGACCTAGCTCATTCATCACATCTGATCCAAGGTTTCCTGGCCAAGCACAGCATTCCGCAGGTTCGCCAGGCTCCTTGTGATTTCTGGCTGTTCCCAAGATTGAAGACACCGCTAAAAGGCTCCCGTTTTGACAGCCGCGAGGACATCATACAGAATGCAACAGCGCAACTGCATGCCATTCCAAAAGAAGCCTTCCAGAATTGTTCCCAGTGATGCAAGGACCTCTGGGCTAAGTATGTGGAGTCACAAGGGGCCTACTTTGAAGGGGATTTAGTATTGTAACCACCCAGATACAGAACTATGTTTTCCCGGCCCAAGGTTGGGTAGTTTTTGGACAGAGTAGTATAATGTCTAACAAATTAACTTGGATGTTTTCATTTCAGACAAATAACTGCTGGAACACATGACTACATGAGTCAAATATTTTGTACAACAATATAATCTGGACTGTTTCATTTACAATTGTAGTAAATGTTTTAGTACAACACCATTGTTATCACTTTTCATCCCTTCATCAAAAGCATACAAACTTTAGAACAGAGAACCAACGCACTGACACAAAAAATTTAAAATTCCAGTTTTGTATCTTGTCAGTGCTGAAAGGTCATTCCTTGAGGGTGAGGCTGAGAATGGAAAAAGAGGTCAACATGGCAAAAGGGACAAGCCTATTTGTCACATAAATAACAATCAACAAATACCCAACACATACATGTGGTACATATGGTATAATGGTGTTTGTCAAGCAAAACATCTGAACTCAAAAGAGGGCATAAAATATTGTTCATCATTAAAATGTCAAAAGTTTAGAGAAACTGGTGAAAAACTCAACCTACATTTATAAAACGTTAAAACAAGTTTATGGATATGAAGCAATATGGGGAGCACACAGTCTTATGTACATTAAATAATATCAAGAAGGAAGGCATAAAGATGTTTAAAAAACTCAGCAACAAGCAAAAACGGAAAATTAAAAAGTTTTGTTCAGACTTTCTAGAAAGTAAGAAGGGCGTTCCTACTCTTTTGTGTTAATATGTAACATGTAATGTAATGTAATGTTAATGTAATGTAACATGTAATATGGTGGTGTTGTAGTAAAGGTTGAACCTTCCCGCCAATGTACTGTTAGTTTGGTTGTCATGCGACAGATAGCAACAGCAGAGCAGTCTACCAAAATGGTGTCTGACATAGAAGTGCGTACAAAACAGAGATGTGTTACTGAATTTCTCACTGCCGAACAAATTGCACCCACTGACATCCGTTGACGCTTGCTAAAGGTGTACGGAGATGATACAGTGGATGTCAGCACAGTGAGGCGGTGGGTAGTGCGTTTCAACAGTGGTGAAAGTGAAGTGTGCGACAAACCACGCCCTGGGCGTCCTGCTCAGCTGCCACTCCTCACAATGAACAGCGTCTCGATCAGCTCATCCATATAGATCGGCGGATAAAGACCAGGGAACTGTGTGCATGGCTTAATATCGGCTGTAATGCATTGGAAACAACGTCAGGGAAGCTGGATTATTGCAAAGTTTGTTCCAGGTGAGTCCCACGGATGCTTACACAGGACCACAAAACTCATCAAATGGAAGTCTGTCAGGACCTGTTGCACCAGTCTGAGGCTGAAGGTGACTAGTTTGTGGCCAGCATCATCACCGGAGATGAGACGTGGTGTCACCACTACGAGCCAGAATCCAAAAGACAGTCCATGGAGTGGCGATATCTGGATTCCCCAAGAAAAGAGAAGTTCAAGACACAGCCATCGGCAGGGAAAGTGATGTGCACGGTCTTTTGGGATAGACGGGGCGTGACTTTGTTGGATTTCCTAGAGCCTGGTGAGACTGTCAATTTTGAATGCTACAAGACAACGCCGACTAAGCTGAAAGCCCGCATTTCCAGAGTCAGGCCAGAGAAGCAGACAATCTTTTGCTTGCAACACAATAACACTAGACTCCATACCAGTTTGGCGACCATCGCGCACACTGCAAAGTTTGGCTGGACTGTCCTACCATATCCACCTTAAAGCCCCAATTTAGCACCTTCAGACTTCCATCTCTTTGGGTCTATGAAAGATGGACTATGTGGGCAACATTTTCCAGACAACGATGCTGTCATTGCAGCTGTAAGAAAGTGGCTAGCCTCTGCTGGTGCAGACTTTTACGGGCACAGCATACAGGCTCTTGTTCATCACTGTCAAAAGTGCATAACGAATGGTGGTGATTACGTGGAAAAATAACTGTAAGTAGCTGAAATCTTGCTCTATTAACTGCATTATTATGCCTTCTGTATCTGTTGTAGTTTTCACTAAAAAAAAATAGGAGGCATTATATACGGAACGCTCCTTGTACTTTTTAAAAACATTAGGAAAAGAATGTAGCCAATTACAGAACCTAGGTCCTGTAGTAAAACAAAGAAATTCTCTGCAACAAACAGCCTATTAAGCACTTTTATCATCAAGTTTTTAAACATTTACAGCAAAGCATTCAATGGAAAAGACTGAATCTTTTAAAACCAAACAGAATTCACATATATTAACTTGCCTTACCACACAGCTCCTTCTGTAACAAAATTTCTGGCCATAATCCAAGTTCCAGTCTTGAATATCAGTCATACTTGATGGATCTGTCCTTTGCAATTTCTCGTGTTCACAAAACAAAAAATTTTGAAGGATAAAATTTTGAACCAACCTCAGATATTTAGAGCAATGTTACAACAGTACTGAAAGAACTTGCATAAACTGATTTCCAGTTATGATCCCATGCATGGTAGATATGAAATGACATCTGCATAAAGCCAGAGGGAGAGTATCCTCAAGGTGGAAATATCCCTTAACAATGACATACAGTCATTTGTAGAATCAATCTGGTTACTTTATTCGCCACACTCTGTACTGACGACATCCAATATATTGTATAATGACTTTACGTACCTTTGATTGCCTTTGTAACTACATTATCAATCAGTGCCGAACATTTAATCTTAATATTATCTCGATTTGTTTGGGAAGATGATGACGATTGTGTCTTCTGCTCCTCACTCCTGAACCGATCTGCTTCCTGAAATAAAAATATATTATGAAAATTTAAAATAATCTTTGTTGGTGTATACAATATAACTCAACTAGGAGCATTCAACACTGCATTGGAAATGCCAGTATGACAAGATGGCACACTATGGATATTAAATTCCCAATTTGTGTTTGGCAATAATAAATTTTTACCTTCAAAATTAATCTATGTACTGCTAGGAATACTGAATCCCATGTTACATTGTTTTCATTGTGACTCCTATCCAAGAGCTTTGTTGCCTGTGAGCCCAACAGAAGTTCTGAAAGTCGTTCCATACTCTTCTGCAATGAAAAATAGATTGGCAGCAAGTTATGGTTTAAAAATTATCTCGTATAACATCTGTCATTTAACTACACAAGGGGTGCAAAACTTTCCTAGCTTCTCCACAGCATTTTCAGAATTAATAAGTCTTAGGGGTGACCAGTGATAAGACTTCATTCTATTAGGTGTTACTACACAGAAAATATGGAATCAAACACTGTTGTACTAATATACTGTGACATGTCAAGCCACTGTTGGGCAATGGGATATGGAACAAGGTTACGCAACAGTAAGGAAAGCAGTGTTTGGTCATGCCGTGCCGAGCCAAAGCATGCTGGTTGCTATGCAGCATTGCAGTAAACATCTCTCGGCAGTGTTGTCCAGCAACACCGCTTTAAACACGGCGATTGCACAACAGTGAAGCGAGAGGCGTTTTCCGCTGTCTGACTGAAGGCTTATAAGAGTAACTGTAATGCCTAAGGAATTCAGATGAAGTCTAGTAGTCGCTGAGTTCAGTTGTAACGAGTGATTTGTGAATGCGAAGAAGTTATAAGTTCAGTAGAATTCTAGCACTTACAAGTATTTGGAGTATTCGGCAAACATAAGTCAGTCAGCCGCGGGAAGAAGAACTGAACACGTGATTAGAAGATTTTATGGGTGATAATCAGTGATTATTCTATTCAACATGTACTGTCACCTGCCATCACATTCTAGCAAAACTGATAGTAACAGCAGTACTGGGAATTAGAAAGAGCATGGGCTACTCCAACAGCAGAGATGGTTATTCACAATGAAGTATGTGAAGATACAGCAGACTAGAAAGACTTCAAAAGTGCTCTAGTTATTTGAAGATTGTGAAGAATAACGAAAGTTTTGTAATTATCTGCAGTTAAAACCAATAAGTGTCCAATAAATTAAATTACCAATTCAACCTGTATCGGGTTACAAACTCATGATATACGTAGTATTTACAGCAAACATGATTCATCCGTTTTGTTATTGGTTAACCCTTTTTATAGAGCTGGGATAGCACAGTCAGTATAGTGACTGGCCAGAGGCTGGAAGACCAAGGTGTCAGAGTTCAAATCCAGGTAGGGTCAAGATGTCTTCTCTATGTCATCCAGACTAGCTGTGGGGCCCATCCAGCCTCCTATCCAATGTGTACCAGGAGCTCTTTCCACAGGGGCATGAAGCAGACCACTCACCTCCAACTAATGCCAAGGTCAAGAAAATGTGGATCCACTCCCTCATATGCCTTCATGGCAGAACGCTTAATTAGTCAAGCACAGGGCAAACTTTCATTTGAAACCTTTTTATTCATAGCCATTAAGCTGAAAGATGTGGTGCAAGTTTTAGTTTGTGGGTGAATGCTTCTATTGCATCTGACCAAGAACCTCTCCAAGATGTTTATTTCATCTCTCAAACATTATGGGACAGACAATTAGGCTGTAATATAAATTTGGTTCTTTCAACTGTAAAAAGCTGATAAATAAATACACTATACCTACCTTTCTCTCTGTAACTCTGTTGGAATCTAAACCACTGCAGCATTCCATTAAGTCTCTTTCAACAGTACCCATGATTCCTAATTTCCTGAAAGTAATACAAACAGTATAAGCTCAAAAAATTCTCAAAACAATATTTACTAACAACAGTCTTCTTTAATGCCCCTTTTAATTAGATACAGGATAACACAATCAGACATCTGTGTTATGCAAAATTCAAACTGAAAAGGGCTAATAACATCAATATCTTTTCTTATCAATAACTGTAATCAATTTTACTCTTCAGTGACAGCCATATTAGAGACTGTGCAGATAAGACTAAAGATAACTTAAATAAAATGTTTTGTGTGATAGGATTTGTAAAACCAGGAGCAGATATTAACCGCTTGTCTTCCTCTGTAGAGTTAATGGTCAAATCTTTGACCCACAATGATGTGATTGTCCTTTCAGGTGGAACTAATGATACAGGGAAAAATAACGCTAAAGAAGGACTAAGAAATATATTGAACTTTGCCAAAACTAATTCTCATACAAACATTGTTTTGTTAACTGTACTGCCTAGATACGATTTGGAAAGTTGGGCGTGTGTAAACGATGAAATAAGAGTTTATAATAGGAAATTAGAGAAATGTATCAAATTTTTTAAACATGTTACATTACTAAACCATGATCTAAAAAGAGCTCTGTATACAAGGCATGGGCTCCATTTCAATAAAACTGGGAAAAATGTATTGGGCAGGAATTTTGCTCTGACTTGCTCTAGAATCTTCCACAGAGACATGAAACGAATTTATTTGCCTTGGAAAGAAAATAATATTTCTGATAATGAGACCCGCAATCTCTCTGGCATAAATAATCATTTTTGTGAAAACTGCTCAAGTGAAGCAAGTAAATCACAAACTTTTGAGCCACTATGCAGATCAAGTAGATTAAAAAATCCCTACTTAACAGACACAATGATTTTTTATGGTGACATTTGAAAGTAGGGAAGAGGAAAATAATTTTAATGCCCTAAAACTAAACAAAAACAACTGCAATATTCATAAAGAAAATTTTAATAATAATGGTTTTCAAATTTACCATCAAAATATTTGTGGCCTGTTAAATAAGACCAGTGAAATTTACGCTCACCTACATCCAGAATTTCCGCAAATACTCTGCTTTAGAGAACATCATTTAAATTATTCACAAACTGAAAATTTGACTATAACTAATTATAATTTAGGAACTAGTCATTGTAGGGAGTCTTTCATTATGGGAGGCATTTGTGTATATGTATATAACTCACTGGATTTTGAAGCTATTAATATCAGAGGATTATGTATAGACAAAGTCATGGAGGCATGTGCTGTAAAACGCAAATTTTTATCTATTATATTTTGTATTTTAGATATTTACAGGTCTACGTCCAGTAACATGTTTAATACCTTCACAAATATGTAGGTTGTACAGAAAGTCATGAGCAACTTTTTTTTGCATGCAACCTGGGAACAGCAGACGAAACCAGCTGTTGTGTTAACCTCGAGTGTTTTGTGACGTCAATAGTTTGCATCACGTGACCAGTATGACTCTTAACAAAATGGCTGACAACCATATGTCATTTTGCCAGCGCGCTGTCATCGAATTTCTTGTGAAAGAGGAAATCCCTGCTGCAGAAATTCACCAGAGACTTCAGCGTGCTTATGGAAGTGTGTGCATGGGTGCGAGCAGTGTTCCAAGATGAGTGAAACATTATAAAGATGGGAACACCAGCATCGAACAGTCTCAACTGAATGCAACAAGGAAAGAGTGAATGAGATCATTCAAGATGACAGGCATGTGACTCTGGACACAACAGCCCGAAAACTTGGAGCAGGGCTATAGGAAAGTTTGTGCTTGTTGGGTCCCGCAGTTATTGACCGAAGACCACAAAGGTCAGCAAAAAGCCATCACCTCAGAACTGCTGCAGAGATATCGACACGAAGGCGATGATCTTTTGCTCTGTCTTGTGACAGGTGATGAAAGCTGGTTTCACCATTTTGAGCCTGAAACGAAATGGCAGAATATGGAACGGCACCATTTGCATTCTCCATCAAAAAAGAAGGCAAAGACAGTGCCATCAGCTGCGAAGGTGATGGGCACAGTCTTCTGGGATGCAGAGGGGTTTATTCTGGCCGAATTCCTGGAACCTGGGCAAACCATCAGTGCTGCTCGTTATGTCCAGACCCTGCACAAGCTCCGTCGTGCATTGCGCAATAAACATCCAGGACGAAACATCATCATCCTGCATGACAACACTCGCCCCCAAGCCACTCACCTCACAATGGAAGCAATTGCAAAGATGGGGTGGGAAGTTATTCCACACCCCTCCTATAGCCCTGATCTGGCAACCTCCAACTACCATCTCTTCCAATTTATGAAGGATCAGCTGCGTGGACAACGTTTTGAGACAAGGGAGGCAATTCAGAAAGCAGTGCGTCAGTGTCTTCGGATGGCTGGAAAAGAATTTTACAGAAGGGGAATTTTCAAACTCTGAGAACGCTGGGATAAATGTATACAAAGAAGTGGTGATTATGTGAAAAAATAAAGAAAGGCATGTAGATTGAGGTGGTGTATTTGGTTTGTAAATAATAAAGCATGTTACTTTACAAAAAATTGCTGCTCATGACTTTCAGTACAACCCTCGTACATATCTGCAAATATTTTATGCTTGCTTTCCGAAAAAGAAAACCTATGAGGAATCTCCCCCTAAACAATGGTTAACTATCAGAATTGAAACTTCTTGCAAAAGGAAAAAACAACTGTACCTTCTGAAAAAGATACTTGATAACAACAATCTAAAGCAATATTATAAGTCACATAGTAAGATCCTGACTAAGGTGATTAATGAGGCAAAAAGACTCAGCTATAAAGATAAAATTACCAACTCCAATAATACTATTAAATCTACTTGGAATATTATAAAAGCGGAGTTAGGTAAAAACTGCCTGAAGGAAAAAAACTGTAAAACTGAGAAAATAAATCCAAGTATTTTTAATAATAATTTTTTAAATATTGCTGATAATATTACTAAAAAATATTCTACTCAAATTACTTTAAATACTGATAATAACAATAATTATAAACATTATCTGAACTTGTCAACTAAGGGCCCCTTTCCCAATAAAATAACAACTAATGAAAATGAAAAAGTTATCTCTTCTTTGCATTCAAAAAGGTCTTCTGGATATGATGAGATTTTGATGCAGACACTAAAAATTAGTGCCCCATACATTTCTTCCCCTTTATGTCATATATTCAATAAAGAAGTCTTAGCTGGTAAATTCCCCTTACGTATGAAATACTCGATTGTAACTCCTATATAGGCCATGCCATAGCTCAAGTGGTTAGTTGCTGGCTTCCCTCCTCAGCAGCCCTGGTTCAAACCCGAGTCTGGTCAAGTGGGATTTGTGGTGGACAAAGTGACACTGGGGCAGGTTTCATCTGAGTACTTCAGTTTCCCCTGCCAATCTTCATTCCACCAACTGCTCCACAATCATTCTCACCTATCATCTGGGGCTGGTACAATAGGCCAGAAGTGGCTGCAGTACAAGGGACTTAGTCCCACCACACTAGCAATAATAAAAATAACTCCTATATACAAGAAAGGTGACAAGAACTGTGCAAATTATAGACCAATATCATTGTTAACTTCATTTTCCAAGGTAAAAGTTAAAAAAAGAAAGTAAAGTTATCCCTGTACCAGGCCGTGAAGGCCCATAGGGTTGTGAGGTGTTGAGGGTCCCACACTATCTACACAAGTTTTTGAAAAAATAATATTTAGGAGATTATTGACACATCTTCACACTTATGACATGCTAGCAAATGAACAATTTGGGTTTTGCCCCAAATTATCCACTGAAACAGTTTCATATAACTTAATAAATACAGGTATTAACAATAAAGAAAAAGTAGGTGGAATCTTCGATTTGGAGAAGGCTTTTGACAGCGAAAATCATGAAATACTTTTATATAAACTTGAATTTTATGGTATAACTCACAACGTATATGTTATTAAAATCATACCTCCAAAACCGATATCAAAGGGTGGTAATTAGAAATGGACCCTTTGATAAGAGTGAATCAGATTGGGGTTGGGTCAAACATGGTGTTCCCCAGGGATCTATCCTGAGACCATTACTTTTCCTATTATATATCACTGACCTACTTTTATCTATAAAATATCTGAACGTCACTGTAAACCTCCAAACAATTTTATTTGCAGAAGATACTAGTGTAATCCTCAGTAATCAAAATAATGCTGTACTTGGAAATAACTTGAAGTCAGTGTTCACTAGTGTGATGAAATGGTTTAAGGCAAATTTACTCCCACTAAATCTAGACAAAACCTATTGTATGGGATTCCACTCTAAAGATATTATTAATTCTGAAATACAAATTAAATATAACAACAAAATTATTGCCAATACTACTGAACTAAAGTCTCTTGGGCTAGTACTTACAATACTTTGTCTTGGAAGAGTCACACCGATATGGTGACTCCCAAATTAAACAAAGTATGTTATACTGCAAAAGCAATCAGACCTTACTTATCATTATATTCCCTAAAGATAATCTATCCTGCTTATTTTCACTCAGTTATAACATCTTGTTTAATTTTCTGGGGATATTCTTCTCACAGTACGAATATTTTCAAACTCCAAAAGCGAATGGTTAGAATACTAATGGAAGCAGGACCCAGAGATTCTTGCAGAAATATTTTTAAAGTTTTAAATATACTACCTCTAGCATCTCAGTACATACTCTCCTTGGCTCTGTTTATCGTTACCAATAAATCATTGTTTTGACAAAATTCTGAAATTCATAATTTTAATACCAGGAATAATTCTAATTTTTTTCAAGTAATGACTCACTTGACGATGTTTCATAAAAGTCCTGCCTGCGCAGACGTTAAGATATACAACCATCTTCCAGCTGACATTAAAGACTTGGCATGTGATATTAAAAGCTTTAAAATAGCATTAAAAAGTATTTGCATGAGAATTCTTTTTAAACTGTGGGTGAATTTTTATGCATAAAACTAGATAAGTACTTTTGATTGAAATAGTA